GACGACCCTGCCACCTCAAAGCAGATGCTGATAATGGTGCAAAGCAGACACCCATAAGTGCAGAGTTTTTCGCTGAAAAAGCCAAAACAGTTCGGCAGCGGAGAGAAAAGCACATATGTGAAAATGTGTGTGTATGTGCCGTATTTACTGCCGAACCCCTTTGTACATGCACGTCAGTTGCACACGTTATCTATAAGTGTAATAATAAGCGAGTAAACGAATTTACGTCCATTTTGTCGCCCCATTCAAGCGTTTATAATGAATATGGTAACATCGCTCCAATTGAATGATGGTTTTGGATGATCGTGACGGTCCTCACTCAAGTACAGAAATGTTCCAAAATCGTCGCCAAAATAGAGCGAAGAAAGCTAGCGTCGCTCTCGGAGACACGAAATAAATGAAGCAATCCCAGCCGAAAATTCCGGTTACGGTTACGCCCAGAATTTACGATTACGGCCGTAATTTGCTACGGTTACGGTCAAAATTTACGATTACGGCCGTAATTTGCTCCGGTTACGGTTAAAATTTACGATTACGATCGTAACCGGAGTTCGATTACGGTTTACACTTACGGTTACGAGTAAGCTTACGAATACGACCGTAACCGTAGCCCGGTTACGGTCAGCAGTTACGGTTACGAGTAATGTTAAACGATTACGATCGTAACCGGAAAATATCAAACTTTGAAACGTCGTAGCGCTTAAACTAAGCTTTGCAGGGAGAAACGGTTAAGGGTAACGTAAGGGAAACACAAGTCAAACCTATGTGTGGAGTTTGGAAAGAATCGATTTTTCAACCCCTGGCTATCTTGAGAACTGTTAGAGATACCGCAACGAAAACACCACCACTGTGCTCGGCGTCAAAAGTTTACATGGGCGACATGTGCTCTGATCTCATGGGGGCTTTGAGTTACTGCCAATACGTCATCACCGTAACCGGAACGTGCTCACCGGAACCGGGCTAACTAACCGTAATCGTATTCGAAACAGTAAACGTAATCGTAACCGGAACTTTAATCGTAACCGTAACAGGAAATGGGTCCAATTTACGAGTGTAACCGTAACTGTAGTCGTAACCGTAGCCGTAACCGGAATTTTCGGCTGGGATGCTTACATTTTTCAAAATGGTGACTGGTGACTCCTGCATTTTCCGGAGTTGTCGTACCCCAAAATATATATGTTGCGGTGGAGTCCGCCTCCGGGGCTTTCTTTTGCCTTTCTTATGACGCATTCATTGGTAATTTTCCCCTCCCGCTCCTCTGCGAATAGCGACTCATTTTGCATTTGCCTGGCGCGCCGCGGTCCTGGAGAGGCCGTGCGAGAGGCTCCCTGGACAATGGTGGGCCCAGAGCGCTTTCTGTCGGAGAGAAAAGGGGTCTGCTTACAATTTAAAGATAGGAACTAGCCGGGCAGCATACCGCCTGCAGCAGGTGTGGGTGGAAACACCTATCTCCCTTGCTGTTTGCCCCTCCATCCCCTCTCTCTCTCTCCCACTCCAGCAGCACCGCTCTCGGTACCGTGATGTACGTACAAGGTGGTGAGTTGAGGCTCCCGTGTTGCTCCTCTCTCATGCAAAATGCATCCATACGATGGATAGGCCAGGCCTCCCTCTCCGGACGGTGCGGCGCTGCCGTGGCGTGGCGTGGGGTCTCGCGAGAGGGGAAGGGGGCGGGGGAAGAAAAGAGAGCGAGCGAGAATACTGTGCCAACTGAATGACTAATTTCATAAAAATTGTAAGACTGCTACCAGAAATAGTCGCCAATAATGACATATATCAGAAAACAAAATTGATGTCGCATGATGTTCTTGTTTTCTGTGAGGACTTTGCAGAACCACCCCACCCTTTTGATTGGACGCCCGCGAAATCAGTGGACCTCTGGGTGCGTTCCAAACGGAATCGAGGCGAAAACTACCCCCTACCTAAACCTATGTGCTGTACACTCTAAAAAAAATCAGTACAAAATTCTGTAACATTGTTACGCAGTAATTTACATATCACATGTTACAGAAATTTGTATCATTTTTGATACAGATTTTAATCTGTAACATGGATACAAAAATCTGTATCA